AATAAATAAATAAATAAATAAATAAATAAATAAAATAAAATAAAAAGAGAAATAACCTGAGAATAAAAAAAATCACTTCAACAAAAATTCACACAAAAAATCATTTTTACAAACACAGCTGTGATACAAAAGTTTTTTCTAGCCACCCCAATTCCCTTGCTGCCGTACTTTTTGATAGTGCTAAGGCCTAAAATTCATTTTTAAACTTCTCTGTTATGGAAGTTTGGATACGTGTTTTTTAGAAACACAAAGGAAAAGTTTCTACTCTTCTTTTCCTCATTGCCTTAAAAAGGTAAAATAGAAGCACCACTTTAGCCACCTCATCAATSGATGTCTTTATCTTAGTGAATGTTGGTGTTTCTCCTCTCTGGTACACATATCCAATCACCCTGAAGTAGTACATGGTGTCTGGCTCAAGGTTATCAATCACACAAGAAGAACCATAGCAGACTTTCTTCATATTCAACTCGTCTTTCAGTTTCCCGTAATCCACTTGCACTTTATTGGATGAAGGCGAGTGCTCTGGTTTAACGAACTTCAAAAGTACTTCTGTCATACTCATAGCTTTAGCTTGTACTTTTATAGGAAGCGAGGGAGCTGTAGAAAATAATCACGAAGTCATTTGAAAAGTATTTTGCGAGTTTCACTAGGGTTATGGTTCATAACAAACTAAGTTATTTATACATTCTTCAATTTCGAAACTTTAATATAAGTCCATGAACTTAGTGACTTACTCTTGACTATTTTGCATTGCTTTCTTCCCCAGTCAGGATACTCTCCTTTACTGGTAAAGGCAGACATCTTAACACAGTACTCAGTGTATGACTTTAGTCCAGTCACCATCGTACTGGTCACATCACCTCCGGTAACCACAAACACTTTCCATTTGTTTCTAGGATACAGCAGTTCTTTGTAGTATATTTTATAGCCTCTGATGATACCGTTCCAATGATCTTCTGGTATGGATGACCACGTGACCTTCATGGATTCATATCTGACTAGAGAGATGTCAGTGACGACTGGTGCTGCGTCAGGTACTGAAGATTGCAGTTATGATACGAAAAAGACAAAAATCAGTGGTTCCAGATACGCATTTCTCATGAGTTCGAGAATACGAGATAATAAATTCACAACAACAAGGGAACAAGTGTCATGTCTACTGTATTAAGTACTGCAGGTGAAACACACTGAATGAGCAGTTACGTTTACATGTCAATGTATGAAAAAGAGAAATTGATTTCTGATTTCCATGTTTCTTAGAGTACATTTTCGAGGACAGAAAACACAATCTGTGAAAATGGTTTTTCATGTTCTAATACTGCATCACTTACCATCTTCACCAGTTTTTGCTAATGTTTCTATCATTTTTTCTTCGTTCGAATTCACTACAGATAGAACAACTCGATAACTCGTAAACTTCTTCAGATTGGTCAATGTCTTGGTTGTGACATCCTTTGGTACTTTTTCTCTCCAGAGTCCTCTGTCTATGTCACCATGCTATACAGAATGATAACCATTGTTATTATATAGTATAACCCTTTCATTATCAGTCAGTTAGTGAATCTTTTGGTCATCATCGCACGTTATTACCTTTACGAAATAATAATCCACCGACTCCATGCAATTAGGTTTGAGCCACTGCACCTCGAGCTGGGTTGACCCTATAGGTTTTACTGTGACACCACTAGGACCTTGAATTTAAAATAATTTTACCAAATCCATCAAGGTTGAATTGAAAACATTTTCACATATATGACGTCACCCATTACGTTCAATACTCACATAAGCCTATTTGGCCTTTCTAGAATTGAAGACTGGAGCCAAGTGAAAATATTAATGTAACAAAAAAATGATTCTCACTATAAAAAAAACATACTAATTTTGAAGTACTACCGAGTTTGAGCATGTTTGGATGAATGCCTACTGAATAGCAAGCTTTTAAAAGTCGCAAAAATAAAAAACTCGATAAACGTGATATTTCATGTGATGATTTGATTTTTAATGAAAATAATACTTCTCCACTCCTTCCCAGTCCCTTCCTCAATTATTCCGGAAATGACAAGTAGCTTTCGATACTTACAAACAGCACCAGAACAAACTTTCAGGCACCGTTCTCCACCGGTTCCTTTGGGACACTGACATTGGTATGATCCAGATCCCCGTGGGTGGTAGGGGTGGGGTACACATTTGCCACCATTGAGGCAAGGACATCGTACTATATGTACGGTCACATGTATTATATCAAACGCGCCACACTCGTCAGTCACTTGAAAGGTAAACTTGTTATTCTGATTGGATGTCACCTTCCATGTCAATAAACCAGATGGACTGAGTGTAAATCCAGTAGCTGTAGAACTGAGTACAGAGTATGTTAGGGGACGGTTATCAGGGTCTGTTGCTTTCAGTTGGATCACAAGTCTTTCTCCTTGTAAAGCAAAATACGCTCTCTTTGAAGGAAACCTGGGGACGTGATTGACTGTGGAGATACAAAGGAAATGAGATATATGATGTCAGAGCCCATAATGTAATTGTGAGGTCTGTATGATTCAAACTTACTTTTTCTAGGTGTCCAAGCATTTTGATCAACATGTGGTAAACACTGCTGGCACCAGTCACGTGGGTTGGGTTTATTGGCAGCAAAGCAATGTCCCTTTATTAAACAGGATTCATTCTATGCAAATAATAACAAGCGAATCAAATTCTCCATTGAACGGGTAAATAAGAAATATTATATTTATCCTACCCTCACTTAAGAATCTAAAAAATATTCGTTGTTCGCTAGATAAGAACACCAATGACGTTATTTTTACAAGTACCTTAGAGAGAATATTAAAATTATATGCCACTTGATCAAACAGTGGTTATTGTCGAACTAACAAATAGCACTAGTTAAGAGATGTGCCAAAGCCTACATTCCAAAATAATGTTTTCGAGAAGTTAAGTTGACAAATTCAGATCTGTGAAAGACGGGTATCGATTTTTCTAAGCCATGGCTTCAACACTTGTAGAATAACAGCATTAGATGCTTACCCTCTGGTCATTTGCTTCAAAACTTGCATTGGATTAGCCTCATTGTCAATTGAATACGTACCTTAAATTCACATTTTCCTGATTTACTGCAGTTCATGCACTTTGAGTCGTAAGTCACATGACGCAGTCGTTGAACACTAGTATTGAATCCATCATTAGAAACCGTGATGAAAAGTCCCCCAGCAGGGGTACCTTCGTGCTGGTAGTCACCAAGTCTAGTCGGAGGCTCAGGCAGGTTGCACTGTACACCAAACAGATCAGTCATTTTCCCTTGTGATGTGACAGGAATTMCRCGAGGAGACCAGGTACCTGGGTAAACCTAGGATAAACGTAAAACACTGAGACGTGTTACTTTCATATTCAACTCCAGGCTTCTCATACAAAACATGAGTCGGGTCCAAGGCAAWCATTWAAWAAACCACGTTGTTCCTGGACCCAATGATATTTGCRGCTCAATAGTATATGCATTGCACGTATGTCTATGAYGCACAAGAAATACCWTTTCTTCCTGTACATGAYATGTTAGGYTCTCCGATTTGATAAAGTTCTGACCCAAGATATTTGTTTTTTTACATGGTCGTTCTCGTATATCACAAAGTCCACCATTGTAAATCCTAAAACAGCAGGAAAAAGAAACAAAAATTGGTTTTGATTTTTTGGTTTAAAAAGAAATAGACCGTTTTGTAAATAGTAAAACTGCGCTTTCTTCCTTGGTGACAGTCATTTATGCGGCGTAAGCCTCATTTCAGTGTCCAAATCAGTATTCCAAATACCAACGGTAATGTACAACCATTCCACGGAATATTCAAGGTATTCCCTTGCAAAATCCAGGCTATCCCTATAGAACAAACTGGAATATTGGACGGTCCCGGTTCTCTACGGGTTGGGGAACTATTCAAATTTATAGTACGAATACTATTTAAATCATGGAAGATTACTCAGTGAACAAAGTTTAGAAGAGAGAGAGCTCGTGCAAACACAATTATATAATATAGATATAAATATGTTTTGAAAGAAAAGGCGGATCAATCATTAGTAAGTCGGAACAAAAAATATTATTATATAGATTTCATTTTGCATACCCTAACAACTCAGGAACTGCATTAACCTGCATGGAACAGTCCAGTGCAGTATAGCCTTCTTCACATATACAGGTTCTGTTCTTAAATGTGCCACGTCCACTACAGTCTTCAGGACACAAGTCTTTTACTACCTCTCTGGGAGGCATTAAGTCACCACTTGCAGTATGAGTATAGAGTGAAAGGTTCTTTAATGTGGTATCTTCACATATGTACTTCATGGTCTCAAATGCCAACACTGCAAATGTCTTGTCTCCTGACAACTAAGAGTGTCAAAATAAAAGCAAATACTTAAGGTATTTCTAGTTTYACATATCTCGTAATAATGCACCCCTTTCCTACTGTTTTCATAGTAATATATTAAATATCGCTTTACCTTCAAGTCGTTAACACACTGTATTATGGCATTTTTTAAGTTGGTTTCTGAGATCTTCATGCATGCCTTTCCTGCTTTTGTTTCTTCAATTTGTGTTGTACAATACTGAGTTGCCTCATCTTCTGGTATGACTTCTATCGGTGATCTCTTGTTTCGTATGCGGTTTACAGCGAGTTGTACATGAAGATCATCCACATAGTAGCTACGTTCCATGTGATCAATGATGTCATCACTATACCAGTGACTGTCTACAGATCTTTTCATGCCAAATTGTGACTGGTCATTTATTTGAGTATTAAGTACTTCTATCTGAGTAGCGTCGATTCTTGTGAAAAGATTTGCGTTGTCATCGCATCTTTCATCCTGTGTTGTTTCACCTTCGAYGCCACAATAGCAGGATCTCCCTTGTTCAACTTGCTCTTCAAGTTCTTGTTCAGGGAGAACCTCAAAAAAGCTCTTCCCTTCCTTAAGACTGTTAAAGCAATATAAACAAAATTGTTGTATTTGTGYTTGSCCATGTGTTATCAGTTCTATTTGTGTCATTGACTTACCGCCAGCTTGCTGCAAATTGTTTTTCATCGTCATGAGGTTTACCATCACCTCCTTTGTTCCAATCGTCTTCYGGATCGTCATTAAAGTTACCACAAAGCCCCAAGACTTTTCCCTTGTCAGTAGATGGTGCATTGATACGAACATCCAGTGACCTTCCAGAACGTTTTACTGAGACTCTGATACCCGAAGACAGAATTACCTTTACATATGAAAAGGAAGAATTATGGTAACAAATAATTATTAATCTATATTGTCTTTTTAGGAATTCAGTGATATATATGTACCTCCTGCTCCAATGATGAACCACTGATCTTCTTAGTGATTTGTATTCCTTTCGATAGACTTCCAGGACTTCGTTTGAAAGTCCTTAGTATTGTAGGTACTGAATCTTTCATTTTGTTACACATAGATATAACTATGACGTCTTTTCCCTCTCGTATTGCTGCACCGCATACACAAGTCATTTGGCCAGCACATATCCAAAGACGAACATGAACCTGTCGAGAAAACAAAATACGACCGGCAATAGGTATAGCCCTGAATCCAACAATGGTTTACCTTTGTTCAAACATTTTCTTTTTTTTACCTGCACTTTCTTTGCTTCGTTGCTGTACATGACATAATCACCCATCTCGTTATAAAAATATCTTCTGAAATGTAAACATTGAATATTAATGTAATTACTTGAGGGATGACGTCTTGCATCGTTGTATAAAGGTTTTTTTTTTGGTTAAATGAATATTTAGTCATTCTCGTGAACCCTTTGGACATGTTTACAATTTAGACTAGAGTAACAAACAAGCAGTGTGACCTATATACCGGTACGTAGTTCAACCGGAAGTCTTACCGATATGTCTCTTGGTAGGTAGATCGAGTTGAAAATATTAAGAACAAGTTAAGAGAGAATTCTTCTCGTATTCAAGCAGTGAGCGCCAAAAACTATTGCCATGAAAAAAGGCTGTTGTACAAGGCTAAAATCTTGTTATTCAGAAAGTTTAACTTGTTTGGAAATGGAGATAACCGATGMAAGTGGAATCGAAGTGTTAACCCAAAGTAAAAAATTTCTTCAAAAAGGATTTTTTTAAACAATATTTCGTAATTGCAATCTAATCTTTATTTGTTTACTTACTTATACACGTCCAGTTAATGTGAGCGTGACCTAAAATGATGACCTACTGGTCGAATTTCCAACCGTCCTATTAATGTTTTTGAATTGTAACTGTATAGTTGGGGTAGAAAAGTTACATTTCATTTCGTAAACAGTACCCTGGGTTCGAGATATGTTTCCCTCTAATTGGACTCTAATATTCTAAGGAGAGTTAGTAACTTTCTTTGCAATTGAAACGAAAATGTTACTCATGCCGAAAATATGGCGCGTTTTTCGTGCCAAAATTCAAAGATTCGGTTCAATCATTCAATCCTTCAGTTCAATCATTCAATCCTTTAGTTCAATCGTTCAATCCTTCAGTTGAAACATGCAATCCTTCGGTTCAATCATTCAATCCTTCGGTTCAAACATTCCATCCTCGGTTCAATCATTCAATCCTTCGGTTCAAACATGCAATCCTTCAGT